CAGTGAGCTGGGGATCCTCATCCTCAGCCTGCTGGTCCTCCTTATCTCCTTCTCGTTTATCACCATCTCTTATACCTACGTCCTGGCAACAATCCTGAAGATCCCTTCTGCTGAGGGGCAGAAGAAGGCTTTCTCCACCTGTGCCTCGCACCTCACAGTGGTCATTGTTCACTATGGCTGTGCCTCCTTCATGTATTTGAGGCCAAAAGCCACCTACTCTCTTGAGCGGGATCAACTTATTGCTGTCACTTATACTGTAGTGACCCCTCTCCTCAACCCTGTTGTTTATAGTCTGAGGAATCAAGCTGTGCAGAGAGCCCTGAGAAATGCTTTCCGAGGGAGATTGCTGGGTAAAGAATGAAAATTACCCTAATAGGATAGTCTTCTCTGTGCAGGCTGGACATAGACCAGGAACTCTGGCCAGTGGGCCAGATATTCAGGGCCTCAGGTCAAAGCTTTTCCACCCACAACCTCTGGGAGAGCCCCATCCTGCCACCTGCACTTCTTCTACAGCTGCTGGGGAATGCAGAGGCAGGGTTTCCTGCTCTGTTCACTGTGCTTAACTCACACTGAGCTCAGAATCTGAATTTTCATATTCAGCCTTAGATGTTACCCCTAGTTACTGAAACCCAATTCATTAAGAATTTTCTAACTGAGTTGAACAAGATGAGGGAAGTTTGGAGTGTTCAAGTTCAAAACATGGCTGCCTGGGGACCTATCAAGGATACTGTAGAGACTTCTAAAATCATTACATAATTAGACTACCCAACCTATAATATTCTTTCAAGATCTGAAACTCAGCGAATATCAGTTTGACAAATCAGTTTGAATGCCTCACTAAACGAAAGGTATGTTATTGTCTCTCTCTCTCACTGGATGTCTTTCATCTTTTTACACAGTTGTCCTCTTTATCTCTGGCTTATTATTGCTTTGCCCTCTTTCTTTTAATTGGCTTTTTTAGTCGGGTAGATTTTATTTTAGAAAATATATTTATTTCCTATTTTCTTTGATAATTGCCGTTGCTTTCTGATGGTCTCATGTTCTTGGGTATCAGATACCTTCCTCACTTGGGTCACCCCTCAGCATGGATCCTGTCCTTTAGAATTTGTGGTGGAACTCTCTATCCTGCCTAGTTCACTTTCCACCTACAATACGTCATGCATAGTGCCAGGCAATCTTAGGGATAAGTAAAGGTGTAATGAATTCACACAGGTGTCAGCTAGGCGTTTGAATATAGGCTCTGCAATTTACTCTGTGACCCTGGGTAAGTTACTTAATCTTTCTCAACTTCAATGTCTTCATCTATAAAATGGTTGTAACTTCATAGTTTGCACTAATGGCTAAACAGGATCATGCATGTAAAGAACTTAGCACAATACCTGGATCATAATGATCTTCCAATAAATGTTGGCTGCTACTATTGGTAATACGCTAAGCAAAGTGATATTGGCTTTTTGTTTAGGAGGAGGTTATTCTCAGTGGAGGATCAGAGAAGTCTTCATATCTGAGGTAGTACTTGAACTTGCTCCTAAAGGACGGGTAAGTTTTGAATGCAGTAAGTGGGAAGAAAAGATACTGTAAGAAGAAAGGGCAGAATAACTGAAGTCTCCATAGCAAGACAATATAGGCCTGTTTCGGAGGGTGGGGAGTTGTCGAGAGGGACAATGAAGCATTTGGAAATGTCTGAAAATGTCTCACAAATGCTCATATACTGAGAAGTTAGCTTGGATTAAGACTTCTTTGTAGACAGTGGTTTGAATACTTTGCTTCAGACCTGATCCTTTTGGCAGTGAGAGATAGGACACAGTAAACCTTTCAGCAGAGAGTAAAGTGGCATCAGAGAAGTGATTTAGGAAGATTAATCCAGCAGCAGAGAGGATGGTAGATCTCAACAGGGAGAAAACAGAGACAAAGAGATCAGTAAGAAATCCATTGCCATCATCCTAAAGAAAGGCAAAGAGATCCGAAGATGGATAGTGCTGTTGGAAACTGACGGAAATCACAAACCTCAGACATTTTGAAAATGTAGGATTCGCATGATTCAGGGATGAGTTAGAAGTGGGGCAAGACTTGAGAGAGAGGAAAGAATTTACATTGAGGTGATATTTATTCAGATAGGAATTTATATTTTTCCACGCTCTCAGGGAAGAAATACATCCTCTAGTTAGAATTTGGCAGAAATAAAATTTGGGAGGAAGAAAGCTAGATCCCACAGAAAAAAACAGGTTGTAGAGAAGTAGGAGAATTAGTCCATATGGCAGAAAGGGCCTGGGCGAGGAGAGAAAGGTCGTGGACTCTAGGGGCCTTTTCATTACCAGCTGGAAGTAATCCCCCCATTGCACTGAGCCAGCTTGAACAAAATAAATTCCAAAATCTATTCAGACCATCTAGCATAACATTCCCCAAATGCACACTGAGCAATGTTGGGTAAAGATGTTCTAAGAATTGCTAAGTAATACTCAAAAGTCCATCTAACTTCTAAATGTAGTAGTCTTAAGTATGGAAGGGTATAAAAATCACTTTGGGGGATTTTTCAGAATGTGTGTTCTTGGGAGCCATCTCTATAGACTTTGACACAATTGATCTAGGGTGGGGGCAGGCAGAAATAGTTTACAAAATCTCCCTAGATGATTCAAATTCCTTCCCTTGATTAAGAAAGTGACTATATGCTTAAAAAAGAATCCTCCTTTCAGATACATATACACACATACACACACAGCAAAGCAGAGGTCCCTCTGATGTGAACATGACCACATATGCCCAACTCATGTCTTGTAAAGAGCCAATTAATGCCAGAGGCTTTGGAGTCAGACTTCCTGAGTTTAAAGCTTAGTCTTGCTACTTTTTAGATGTGTTGCCCAGGGTAAGCTTTTTAACATTTCTGTGCCTCCATTTTCTTAATTGCAAAATGGAGTGATAACAGTATCTATTTTATATGACTTTTTTGTGCTGATTAATACAGAGTCTTTACAACAGAGCCTGCCATACATGAAGCACATGATATAATCATCTATCATTATTTGGAGTTTCTAGACAGTTTTACTTTAGGCTGTCCTGTTTGTTGCCTAGTGATGCTGGGAGAGGCCAGAGCCAGCAGTATCTACCATTTTATATTTCATGATATAACCAGATAAAGAAGAGCAAAGTGCTGATATCTGGCACAGTGTCTGACTGGAGAAGGTAGGAAGATGGATCTAGATCCAGAGACTTGGGAGTATTAAGTACTGGGAAATGGGTCAAGCTATAGGAAACAAGATTCAGATGCCTTCCAGGCCAATGTTTGGTATCAGAGAGGCCCATAAAAAGTCAAAAGGAGTGTTCTGTTAGGAGTGGAAGAATTTTAGACACCCAACCAACCAGTAGGAATCATGAAAGAAAAATCAGGATGTAGCCATAGGGCTGTGACTCAGAGCAGGTTCCAAGCTATACGTTGTAAAGAAGAGAATTAGCAATAAGAAGTCAGGGATTCCAGTTTAAGTAAGTGAACAGAAAGTCAAGAAAAGACAAGTATCGATTAGGAGGAACTTAACCCTGAGATCAAGAAGTGAATTTGATACAAGTTCTAACTGTCATATTATATATTGAATATAGTTCCCAACTAAATAATGTATGATAATTCCCATATTACCACTTTTTAGTTGCATGCATAGGTGATCAGAATTTAATTTCAGGAGGAGCAATATATAACTTTCACATTTCCGTGTCCTTATGGCATTGTTGTTGATTCTTCAGATAAATATTGTCTTCTTTAGCTTCTCTTTTATAAGATAGTACAAATAGTCCTTTGCCTTAAAGAGCATTGCTTGACTATCACATGCCCAATAATCTGATTTAGGCCTAGCAGGGAAGGAGTCAGGTGGAAAATGGAGCCTTATTCACCTTTGCCTTTGGTTATTAAAAGCACACATTTTTTAGATTCTCCACACTTGGTAAGTGTAATATTAAATGATCCTGATTTTCGTTGACCCATTGGGCTACACTTTTTTTCAACTGTAATCATTTTTGATAACTTATAATCAGACAATTTAGACATTTATGAATATTTTTTCAAATAGTTTTTGACTGTCATATTCCGTAGTAACCAATTGTTTAAGCAAAAATCAGTAAAAATACTTATTAGCAGCAAAAATAGCTTTTTAGTTTTAACCCAAATTCTTTATATGGCTTCTGTGATAGGATTTGTCTCTGACTAAGGAAGGACTAATTTCTATGCAAAGGATAGGATTCAGATTTAAGATGGTAATCAAGCGGCAATATACCCGGGTTGAGAGATGGAGGTTGTTTGTGCAGGATACTAGCAGTTTCACAGAAGGCAAAGAAGCGACATAAGAATTCTCATAAGTAAATGATGCCATCAACTTTCACAAGTCAGGACAGAAATGTCAGCATTTGAACCTGTTCAGACCAAACCTGACCTGAAAATTCTTTGAAGATACCACCACCTCTTGTTTTTTTCTTAATTCTTAATTTTATAAACAGTTCTACTTACTTTTATACTACTAGGATATGGAAGTAAATCAAAACAAATGTTCTTCTTATCACACTAAAATTTAAGGGGAAATTTAGGGACATGGAGGATAAAAACAAGTCCTGTTATGCTGGAATTTTCCATTCTGAGAGTAACAACATTCACTCTAAAAGGGAAGTATGAAAAAAAGACAGATTACAAAGAAAATAAGTGCTATGCTGGTCTTCTCTGTGTGGTTCCATTTTACAGATCAAAATATTAGGGTTCCCCAGAACATAAAACTTTTCATTTTCAAATGTAAGGATTTAAGCATATTCCAAAGCTCAAGAGAAATTATTTGTAAATAGTCTTGGATCTTTTTTATCTACTTTACCACGGCCCTTATTTACAGTGTAATTAGCTGCCCATATTTAGATGACACTATAATTCTCAGTATTGCAGAAGTGCAATTGGGTCAACAACATTTTATTTCACTATTTTATTCACTTTTTTAAGAAATACTTTAAAAAAATTAATGCCTTTTTATAAAAGAAAACACTTTATTCTATAATCAGAACAAAACAAAAATAATAAAGATATGCTAAACTCAAAAAATAAAAAATAGAAACTTTGGCACCTCTCAGTAGTAACCAGTTGCATACAAAATTAGCCCACGGCCTTCTCTTCTCAACTCTGTTAATGCCTTATAGCTCCCAAGCTTGAAATTTTTTCTGGTCCTGAAATAATTGTAATACAGACATACACACTCACACACACACAGGACTGTCTTTCCACTCTCCATTCCTGTCTCCATCATTCCCCAATATTTCCCACCACACCAAGATTTTCTATGATACAGGAAAAGCTGCTTATCAGTTGCCAAAGTAGGAATTGGTGAAGCCAACATAGTCATAGCCAGCAGCATGGCTTCGGCCCCGGGGGTCCGCATATTGCTGCATATGTGAGGCACAGAATGATACTTGTTCCGGGGTTAGGGCCTGAAACATAAAAAGAAAGAGATACAGTTATAAGGAGTTAAAATACCTGGCTCATCGGGGCTTCCATTATGCCTTAAACCCAGGAAGTGGAGAAACCTTAGAAGAAAAAGCCAGCCCTGTTCTTATCACATACTTTTCTCATAAATCTAAATTTTCTAATAAATAAAATGAACTCATCTCTTCAACTCAGCTCTTACCTGAAGAGTCTCATCTCACTTTGACTACACTATCTATCCCATTCCCTAAATTTGGATTATTAAATAAATGGGATAAAAAATAGCCTTAAAAACTGAGTTGTAAATTTGGGATTGACCCTGATAGTCATCAGAGATTGCCTGTAGGTTTTTGAGCTGGGTCAAGACAACATGAAGTGGTGATCAAAGCAAATGATATCTAGTGCAAGACCATATCTGTGCAAAAAAAAAACAAAAAACATAAAAGGTTTGGCAGGGAGGGTAGTTGTCTATAGTAGGCAACCAGGTCTGAGATAAGCAAAATCTAGAATATGATGAAAGCATAATGAGAGTGAATGCAACTAGACTCTGACCTGTTTCATGTCCTCTTTGGTAATATAGGCCTTGCCCTCTGCTAGGGCTTGGAAAGCATTCTCTATTTCATCGCTGGACTTGATGTTCTCTGATTCCTTGTCAATCAGGAATGAGGTATAGTCTTCTCGTGAGATGTAGCCCTTCCTGTGGGAGAAATGGATCAGGAACTGTGCCCTCTCAAGACAGAGAGGAAGGCAGGCCCATTTCTCATCCTACTCAGTGTCTCAGAGACAGAGGGAAACCAGATTCTCCATGTGCCTCTTCCAATTCAGTTTTCTGAGATCATGGGCTATGATCTCTATTTGACCCCTCTCCTCACATCTTTACAGCCAAATAAACAGTTTCTTAAGTTCCAGACTCTGTTTCCACAGGGGTCATTCAGCTTGCCTTTCTACATAGAATTTGGGAATTTCCCATCAGCACCAGCCTCTAGATACCTCAAGCTCTTCAAGTTGAGTTGAAGACCTCTATTTCTGGTCTTCTTCGGTCCTTGAAAGAATCAGTCCCTAACAGTAATGTGATCCCTCTATGACTCTACTCCACCTTCACAAGCACACAACAACCCCACCCCCAGGAGTTGGCCTCTGAATCATCCATGTCTCCTTAGAACTTTACATACATGAAGGGATTTTTCTCTCAAGGTCCATTCTCAGAACCAGCTGAAATTCATGGATCAAACATAAACCAGGAAAGAAGCAAATTACAGATCTGGCACCTCAGTTGGAGTTAGTGCCATGAACTTCTGAGCTAATCCTAAAAGGGCAGCAAAAGCTGCCCAATTCATTTATGGTCATCTGTATCTTCCTAGTCTCAAGATGAGTTAATTTTATATTTTACGGCTCATTTTACTCTCTGTGCTTGTCCCACCAAACCCCATTCCCTGCTACGGTCTGGCCCTTGGTCTTCCTCCTACCTTCCTGGATCGACAGCATCTAGGAATTTCTCAAACTTGGGCTCAGGTTCATCCTCCTCCACCATGGGCAAGTTGTAATTGAGCACTCTCAGGCAGGACCGGAAATCTTTGTGACTTAAGCGCCCTGTCAAATTCTCATCAAAGTGTCTAAAGAATAAAAGCATTTTATCAAGTTCAATAGAGAACCAGATTAGAACAGAAAAGAACAGTTCTTGTTGAGTCAGCTGGGACTTTATTAACATGTCATAAGGTTATCAGAGAACTGAGTGAAGAGCTTGCCTATGTTTCTGAACTTTTTTTTAACTTAATGGACAGAGGAAGAAGCATAAAATGCTGAACATAAGAGAAATGTATTTTCTAAAGTCCAGGAATCTCATAGATATATTAAAAACCATTACTTGAAGCTAAATAACATCTAGATCTTCATTTAAGATCCTACCAAGTCACACTGAAGGAAAAAATATGTCATTTGGAGATTCACTCTGAATGGTCTGGAAAACAAAGAACCAATCAACTATGAAGGCATACTCACCTAAATGTTTTGCTAAACTCCTTTAGTGTCTCCTCACTCACACCTCTGGTGTCTCTAAAAGGAAAAACATGAATTAACCCATGAAATAAAACATGAAAATAGCAAAATACATGCCATATGAAATAGAGAGGAATTTTAGTGGGTATTATGCTATTTGAGTCATTTAGTTCAGGGGTGGCAAACTATCGGCCATGGGTCAAATCTAGTTGTGACTTGCTTTTGTATAGTCAATGAGCTAAGAATGGTTATTACATTTTTACATGGTTGAAAATAATAAAAAGAAGAAGCATGTTTCATTAAACATAAAAATTACATGAAATTCAAATTTCAGTGTCCTTAAATAAAATCTTGTTGGAACACGTCCATGCTCATTCATTTATAAATGATCACAGCTGCTTTCTCTCCACAACAGTAGAGTTGAGTTGTTACAACAGAGACTATATGGGTCAAAAAGTCTAAATTATTCATTATCAGGCTCTTTACAGGAAAAGTTTGTCAATCTCTGATCTACATAATAATGCTGTCAAAAAGCTATGGAGACCTAGAGCTGCTCTGATATAATTAATTCATTTAGAATAAAACAAACTCTGCTTTTCTGCTCCATACCTTGAATATTTCTTGCAATTAGATATTTTAGAGGGAATTTTACAAAAGAGAATGCTTTATGAAGAGATCACATAAGATAGTGAAGAGACTCTGAGAATTAGATGATGAGGAGACTGAGGGGGATGGGAGCACTGTCTCCTATTTCATAATAGACCCTCATATAAAGAGAAATAGTCATTCTGTGGGTCAATAAAGAGAGAGAATATTTGTTCTAGAGATGGTGAGTGTACTATCTCTGAAGCAGCTCTTTTATCCAGTACCCCAAACTCTAGCCCTTGGAGTTAAGTTCCTAACACCTAATACCACCCACACCCTTCCCCAGCCCTGGCCACAGGCTCTCAGTACTTGGCTTGGATCTGTTGTTCCAGGTTGTGTTGCATTTGCATCCCAAGCTGGTAGAGCTGTTCCCACTGCTGGGCCAGCCCAATGGTGCTGTATTTGACGTCCAGGACCAGAGCCTCTTCTAAGCTGTCCCCCAGGTCCTCAATCTTGGTCAACTGGCGCTTCATTGCCTGGATCTCCTTCTGCTTCCTCTGGAAAAAGACAGAGAAGAAAAGAGGCAGTCACCCAGTGTGTCAGATCCAAACCAAAGGATAATAGAGAAGATAAGAAGATAATGAGTTTGGGTTTCCCATAATTGCTCCTTTTTAATTATTTTCAGGAATCTTCCTGTCCTCTGTGAAAAAGAAACTACTCAGGAAAACTACTTCACTTCTGTATTCCTCATTTATAAAATGGTAGGGAGATTAAGTGATATGATCTCTGTCATTCTGATAATATGTAATATATAAACCTAAGAATTAGTAGTTATATACTGCAGATAGAAAAGAGTAGAATTTCCAGGATCCATGCATCATCAGCTCCCAGTGATCTGCAGAATGAATTATCTGCACTATTGTTTGTGGTTGAGCTTTCAAGCCCACTTAAGCTCCCCAGTGTTCACTCTTGGGCCTCTTTCATCTGCTTGGACAGACTTCCACAGGCTGCTCCTGTCATCCAGGCACATTATATGCCAAATTTCTGCATCTAGGCCTTGATTTCTCAACAGGGGAATATTTTTCTCCAAGGATGGAAGGAGTGAAGTGGTTCTGATGATGGACGTGGGTGTGAAAACATATTAGATATTACAACGGCTTTTAACCCTCCAAACATCAATCCTACCTGACAACATCTTACTCTATAGTATGTAAATTCTCCCATTAAATTAATAAAATTTTTTTCCTTGCTGAAGGTGATAATGAAAATAAAGTTAAGAAACACTGCTCTAGTCCACTGCCTCACTCAATTGTTAAGAGATCATCTAGATTCAATTGTATCACCTTGCCACATCAAAAAATAACAGAAGTTTGCTGATGTTCTAGGTTGTAGGCTAGGATCTTTTGCATTTATGCCCTTACTTAATCATTAAAGTAACTCTATAATGTAGATATTATTAACTTCACTGTATAGATACAGAAATCGAAGTTGAGAGATTTAAACAAACTGAAGTCCACGTCCATGAAGTGGTGGCCGGTGGTTAGAAAGCAAATTGGTGGCAGGGTTGGCACCAGAGCCTTAAGCTCTTGACTTTCAGGCCGGGGAGTTTACATAAAAGTATCACTAGGGTTGCCTTTAAGTGGTTTTTCTTGCACTCCTTGTAATTCTGCCAATATCCTCAGCTAATGAACACACATTACTTACTTTATTTGCTTCCAACTGGGATTCCAGAGTTCCTGTTTCTTCGAGCAAAGATCTAGTTAAGAACCAGAGGAAAACATTACTTGTAATATCAGAAGTCAACATTTCACAGAGACAGACTAACTCAAAGCCCCTATACTTCTCTACCTCTACTTCCAAGTTACATGGCCTCTCTGAAATGAATTTTCACAGCACTAAATTTTCACAAAATCAAATCCTTTTGTCTACTGGTAACTCTGCCAGACATATGAGAAGGGAAGCAAGGCCTGCCCTGGTTCTTCTCTGCCTGCAAGAAGGCTTCCCGACCTCCCTCCTAGTTCTTATTTTCAAATATATCCTTAACCTAATGTAGGCAAGACTGTACCTGGTGGAGTGTAGGGCCAGAATGATATATACTCTGCTTCTCCTTCTCACCCCACATTTTTATTTAGGCACAAGCAGACTGAGGTGGGATGAAGATGCCTCAGTGCTAAGGTCTCCTTAACTTTCAGAATAATATAACAAAACAAACACCATAATATAAAATACTGACCCATCCAAAAAATAAGCTCTGGACATGGAGGTCCGGAACAGGAATCAGAAGAGAGAAAAGAGAAGTCATATATTAACATGGATTACTTCAATAATCTTCTTTCCTCAAATTTATGAAACATTCTAAATCTTTTATAGCCAGAAAATATGAACCTGTTCCACCCACTGTTCCCAAAGTCTCTCCCACACTGAGAAGCTCAGAAACTTCTGTGAGGCTCCTTGCTTTAGAATGAAGAGCTCAGGTGTCAGGTGATATGATCAGTGTTGGGCACACGCTGCCAGGTCATGAGGAACCAAGACCAGAGACAGAGGAGGCTGAGCTGTGTTTCCTCTGCCTTCTGTCAGACTTTTTCTAGCCATGATACAGAGTTTCTTTTGAGTCATTGTCTGATTTACCACTGAGTTTGTAGGAACAGTATATATAACAGATTGTCTAAACCACCACTTTAACTCTCAAAATTCCAGAATTCTGACCCACCTACTGGACACAGTCTACCAACTTTGACCATTTATGCTAACATATTATACCTTTTAAGTTTCCTCTTTACCAGGCCATTTGTCCCAGAAGATATGACAAACATTATTTTCACATATAGAGCATTTTGCATTTAATAAAAGCAATTAGCATATATTATCTCATTTGATTCTCATCACATCTTTAGTAGGCAGCCAACATAATAGCTTCATATTAGGCGTTCACAGTAGGCTCTGCTTCTGGTCGTGCTAATAAATACACTATAGGTGACCTTGAGCAAGTCAATTTATCTACTGAACTTCTTTTCATACTTGGAAACAAAGGTAATAAAATCTGCTGTGTACACTTCTCAAGGTTGCTCTGAAAGTTAAGTGAGGCAATAGATACAGAAGTACTTTGTAAAGTACAAAGTGGTATGCAAACATAAAGGATTGTAATTATTTTTGGACTGCAATTACAAGCAACGGAAGAAAAAGTGAAAGTATCAAGGAGATAATACAGAAGCATTCACAATGGGCAGTAGGATGCAATTCTCATTTCTTGATTTTGCAGGGATTGATTTAGAAAGCAGTCAATTTCAAATATAAAGCACAGGCAGGATATGGTGATTTTAGGACAGCATAAATGCTGTAGAAGTCCCTCCTCCTCCCCTCAGATTTGTTTTTCATCCCTATGGTGAGTGGACTAGGTGTCATAGGGATCATGAGTTTCAAAGTGGCACAGCACACCTGGTCTCCAAGATCCATTGAAGAAAGGCACTGGCATTCTGTTCAAACTCCTGGCACATCTCAAAGTTCTTGACCTGTCTTGCCTCTTCTTTTTGCAGATCCTGCTCGCGTTCCTAAAACCCCAAATCACAGATAGTGGGATACACATTGAAGATCTTTCTTTGCAGTAAGATAACTGGTTCCTAGGCTCAGCTGCACATCTTCTCCCTCCCAAATCTAACCTATTTTCCAGAGGCATTGCCGAGTTGCTCATATTTCTTTCAGCCCACCTCCTCTCATCTCCAAAAGGTGAAGAAAGCTGATGTCACTTGCCATAAGTACTTGCAGGTGTCTCTAAGACCAAGCCCAGTAACAAATAAGCTAGTAATCAAGGCAAATCTTTCCTCTTCTCAATTTTTTTCTCAAATTTTTTCCAGGTGAAATAACAAAACAGCCTTAAAGGGGAAGGTAGTAGTAACAAGAGTTGCCATCTAAAACTGGTGATATTATGGGGTAATATTTCTTTGTTAAACTTTTTTATATTTTCCATAGTTTCTATGATGAACATCATTATAGACAGACAAAAATTAAATACAAACACTTAAAAAGGCACTTTTGGAGGTGTGTATAAAATAAGGAATGTCTTAGATGGGAGGAATATATAGACTCTGAACATATATACAAAGCTTCATGAACTTTTCATAATTCATTTTTAGAGCCACCTCTTGGAGGTTGTTTTTGCTACCTTGAATCACTCTTCAACACCCAGAAGCTTGAGACTGTCTAAACTATGGGGCATTGGGCTATACCTATTGTGAATATATTTCCAAATTTTTCTTAGACAATCCTGTCTCTTGAATGCTGTACCAGTGTAATTATTGATAATGTTCCTTTCTTTCTCAAAAGTCCCCCAACTTGGAAAATAAATTAAATGGTTATGCTCATTATAGCCAAAGAAAGTCTCTGCTGTGCCCCAAGTTACCTTGATGACGTCAGATAGGTGCTTCCAGATCCTGTCTAGTACTTCTACTGTTAACCAGGTATAAGGGCTGGAGGGCACATTTAAGGCCTTAATCTGCTGGTCTAGCTCCAGTAAATCATTGAAATATGTTTGGTGCTTTTCCAAAGAGGCCAAGAAGGTCTCATGGTCCTTCTGCAGCTGCCGAATCTCATTCAGGGAGACACAGTGCACAGGCTCTGACAGGTTTTCCTCAGCATGTTCACACCAGTTGTTGAAAGCTGAAGCCTTGTGTGCAAATTTCATGAAGAGCTCCTCAGCCTACAAAGAAAAAAAGACATCTCCATCTTTTCCAATAAAGCTCCTCAGCAAAAGAGAAGACTGAGGATAAAAAGAAAAATGGTTGTCTTCCAATATTTTTAAGGTCAGCACTCTAGGATGGCAGAACTAAAACCAATGAGGACCATGTGATCCAATGCCTGGACTGTGAGTTCAAGGTACAAACTCTGGTCCTGGTCTCACTATGTGCAGTTAGTCCAGTCTTCCATCATACAAGCAAGGAGGTTGAATGAGTTCTAGAGTTATTTTAGCTCTAAGGTTCCCAAAGCGGCCAGGGTCATTTTCAATGATAAGATTTCATCATTTCTTGTTCTGAAGTCTGTGCTCCAATTCTACCTGGCACATAGTGAACATGCCAAAGTAGATGTTAAATGAATGAGTGGACAAATGGTTGAATAAACAAATCACTTATGAGATAGGCAAATCTATCACATCCTTTATCCTCTTGCTCTTTTTCTCTGATCTTCTGTCTACCATGCCTCTCTAACATCTCTGTGTATACGGAGTTCTTTTCCTACCTTCCTTCTAAAGCTTGTTTAGGGCTCATCTCATGCCTGAAGCCCCTGCTTAACCCCCTTTCCTACCCTCTAACCTGTATCCCTAGCCCTGTATTACCCTCTGGAGTTATCCATATGCTCTGAAGGACTCTGAATTTCTGAATGAGAGAAATAACTTGGATTGTTCCAAACAGTAGGTAATCAAAAATAGTTTTAGAGTTAAATGCATCATAGATTTTGGGTGAGCAGATTGGATTTCCAAAGAGATTCATATTATGCAAATGAGTTTTCATCCACAAACATAGCGGTTAAAGAGGAAAAAATTTGTGGCCCAAATAAAAGGGAGATTCAATTCAATGTACTACACCATTACATCTTCCCTCTGCTCATTTCAGCAATCTATATGCTAAAACAGATCAACATAGAGAAAAGTAACATAGCTCCTACACAGGGAGGACATGAAAATCTAAGTACTTCATATTATTTTCATAATATTGTGGATCAACTGACTATTTTACAAAGATTTTATAACCAGAAAATAAAATAACAAAACTCTTTGCAGTTTGAAAATCAAGCAAAATAGAATCAGAATGTGAAGTATCTTCTTATGTAGATTATAAATGTGTGTAAAGTCGCCCATTAATTGATTTAATGTTTTACTTAAGACTTATTTCTGTACGTCCCATGTCCTTCAATAGAATAGAAATTAACTAAGGGTCCAGACTGACTGATTTTTATTTTTGCGTTTGTTTCCTAATTCCCCTAACTCCATACTTCAACTTGTTAGGTACAATACTTCTTATGGTCTAAGAGTGCTCAGTGATTTCACTGACCATCTTGACTTCCTTTTATTATTGATATTTTTTATGATCAATATCTAATACCTTAGCAGCCACTACTAGAAAGAATCACTTATATCGATATAGAACTTAATGGTGTATATTGCATTTTCAGGTCTCTTATACCTTTTAATAGTAATAACACAGAATAGCAGGAGATGGTGGTAACATTAGCCTATTTCATAAATGGAGGAATCAAGGTTCAGAGACATACACAAGTTCTCCCAGCTAGGAAAGGTCAATACAAGGCGAGAACACAAGTTTTACTTGTCTAGTGTTCCTTTTATTTGAGTTAGAGAAAAGCACAAGGACAACCTTGACTCCTGCCTGCCAGTTTTAGTTCTTCCACACACTAAGATCTTCCACTATCTTGTCCCATCTACCTCTTCGATTACATGTGCTTGACTTCCATCTCGAGTCAGCTGGATAAATGATAAATCAGTCTAAAAAAACCTTCTTATCAATCTAAAAAAATAAATTACTTCATGCTCAATAAGAATGTCTCCCGCTACAACTATGATATACAACTATGTACTGGGGCTTTGGGGAGGAAAAAGAAAAAAGAGGAAGATTGGCAACAGATGTCGGTGCAGGGCCAATCTTCCTCAAAAAAAAAAAAAAAGACTATCTTCCTGATCCTTTACAATGAACTTATTCAAAAGTCTACAGATTATCTAAACATGTTTCCAGTATCTACTTCTGGATTCCATAGCTAATATACAGATAATTGAAGCCTGATCATGGCTCATAGATTTTTCTTTTTTTTTTACCTCCTGCAGGGGCTGCTGTTTCTCCAGCAATTTCTGTCTGTGGGCTGCACAGGCTTCCAGCAGCTGTTCCCAGCGACTCAGCAGGGCAGTGTGGCGCTCCTCAATGGCTTTGGTCTGGCTGTGCTGAGCAGCCACTAGTTGGTCCTTTAGGTCAGTTATCTCAGACAGTCTCTCCTGCTGGAAGCTCTGCAGACTGGCATCCAGTGTGTCCTGCGAAAGACCCATAGAGACGCTGTAAACAGAGAAACAATGCAGATTCCAAGGGGTCATTCACATCTAGGTTCCACCAGATTTTTATCATGAACGAGATAAAGACTAGACAATAGTTAGAGTGATGACCAAAGAAAAGGAAATCTGACTTAGAAACTTAAGTGAACATTTAGGATTGGAATTATGGTTAAATTCCAATGGATATATGTTCTATAATTAGATTTTAAGTTAAGTGTAAAGTTAATATTAAGGGAATATTGGAAGATGCATGATATGACATTCCAAATTTTCTGAATCAAATCTAAATCCTTCCTACAGCTCGCATCCTTTCTAAGACTTTTTTGTGTCACTTGTTAGATTTTGTGTGCTCGTTAGTAGCAGTGCACTACTGAAGATCCTGGAAGTGTGCAGACTAACAAAAGACCTCCCATAGGTGCCAGTTATACAAATGATATTTTTGTGGACATGTTGATATCAGAATCACAAAATTTGGGATGTTCCATTTCCAGCTTTAACAGAGTGGCTTGTATTGGACCAATTCACCCCTTGAGAACAACTTCAACTACTGGATAAAAATACAAAATATCAGTTGTTTTTGATAAAAGTACAAGAAATCAGAATGCAACATAGGTGGCTATAACTTGAGGGATCAAAATTCCAGAGAGAAGGGAATAGTATTAAAGTAAGACAGTAATACTCTCTGTCGTTTTTTCCTCTGAAGGATAAGCTGCACAGGATAAGAGCTTGAGGAGAAAGCAGCTGCTCAGAACATTTGACAATCTTATGGAGCTGAAGAGACAAAAATTGGAGTTCTGGGAACTGGGTCAACAAGAATTTGAAGAGTCGTTTAAAGAGAACTGCAGAAGAGTAGGTTCAATATTCTCCCTGTATTTTCCCCTCAAGGCATTTCTAGATTCCTAAACTGTACAGGACACAAGTCCTAGAAGCCAAGCAGAAAACAGTAGCTAAGACTCTAAATGCTAGGTAGAATATTCTGTAGTCCTACAGTGCTGAGTTCAGGACATATCAAGCAGGAGCAGCCCTGGTGAAAGAGGTTTAGTTGAACTCCCCGAAAGGTCTTAGGTGTAAAAGCAAACTGGAAAAGGCTAGTCCTCAAAAAAACTGAATTATGTCTTGAGTAACTTCAATCTCTGCCAAAAAGTAGGGGTTGGATGGAATGATGGAGGATGTTAAATTACAGCTTAAAATCAAAACTCATGAATTACTTTAAATGAAAATGGCTTATTATTCCAATAAAATGATCAAATTAGATAAATAAAGTAATACTTAACTATTTGATATTCATAAAAGACAATCTGTACTTCCACGTTCATTGCAGTATTATTCACAATAGCCAAGATATGGAAACAAACTGAGTGTCCATCAACAGAAGAATGGATAAAGAAGATGTGGGGAGTGTGTGTGTGTGTGTGTATATATATATATATATATGGTCAAATATATTGGCCAAAGGGTGCAAACATCCAGCTAAAAGACTAACAACTTCTGGAAATCTAATGTACAGCACGGTGATTATAACAAACAATACTATATTATATACTTGAAATTTGCTAACAGAGTAAAACTTCAGTGTTCCCCCACTGAATAAAAAGGTAATTATGTGATGGGATGGAGGTGTTAGCTAATTGGTAGTAATTATTTTGCAATATATAAATGTATCAAATCAACAAAAATAAAATAATATATAAAGACATAAATGTAAAAAAAATAATTAAAGGATAGAAATAGATATATACTGCAAACACTAAGCAAAAGAAAATTGGTATAGTATACTGGTATGTGAAAAGAAGACTTTAAATCAAAAAATTTTGTTAGAAAGAAGAACATTTCATAATTAAATGTATCAAATCGTCAAGATGATTTCATAATTCTAAATGTCCACACAACTTTTAACCTAGCCTCAAAATATATAAAAACAACAAAGTATTAAAACAACATGATTAATGACCAAAATCTGTTAGTTAATATAAACCACTGTAAAATGCCTATTTTTTTCAGTTGTAGGTAGACTATTCACCAAAATAGACCATTTACTGGATGCAAATCAAGCTTCTAAAATAATATAGAGTATATTTTTAAAATAAAGTGGAATTAAACTAGAAATAAATATCAAAAAAGATAATGAGAAAATTTCCAATGTTTAGAAATCAAGCAATACACTAGGGAATAACCAATAAGTTAAATAAGGAATTACATCAGAAATGAAAGAAAATTTTTAAGGGAATGATAACAAAATAGCATATGAAATTTGTGAGATGTAGCTAAAGTTTTGTTTAAAGAGAAATTTATATCTTTAAATCAATAGAAAAGAAAAATGGCTAAATATTCGATAATCTAAATATCCATCTCAGGAAATTTTTAAAAAAATCAAGTTAATCCCAAAGAAAGTAAAAGAAAATGATAGAGATATAAAAAGATATTAATGGAATACAATACAAGGATATAACAGAAAAGAACCAAAAAGTTAGTTCTCTAATAAAAATGATGAACACCTAGCAGCAAGACTGATGAGATGGGGGAGGGAGAGGAAATGGAAGGGAAAAGAGAAAAAATTAGCAAATTATCAATATCAGAAAGGAAAAAAGGAACAATATTACAGGTCCTACAGACAATAAAACCACAAAATTCAGGAATGAAGTAATCCTATGTGTTCAGCTTCTATGTGATGTGTTTCTTGGATTTCACTGGTGTCTATCAACAAGGCAGCCCTGCTCTCACCTGCTTTGCCAAGAGAGTGAGGAAGGCAGCGAGGTCTGCACCATTGCCATTGATCTTCAGGCTTCTTTCCTTTTCAGCTAAAGAGTAAGGATCATAATTAGAGGGAGAAGACAGTTGGTCCTTGAAAAGGAATCTTTACTACAGGACACAAGAAAGCCTCCTGACTCTCAAAGTAGGTGATTCATTGGAATATGAGAGCAATGGGGACCAGTGGATTATTTCTCTATACTTACATAGGATAAAACTGACTGAAACAGAGATAGGGCCAAAAGAACTTCTGAGTGTTTAGAACAAAGGAAAACTTCAGATTAGACATAAATTATAAGTAATCAAACACACAGCTTATTTCCTAGAATATATGTTTGCCCTGCTTCTATCTTTCTGAATATCACATCTGAAATCACCAATTCCCAACAAATATGTTCTCTGGAATTATAGTACTTAGTCACCCCATCAGCATGTTTCTTTGTGTATGTGTGTGTGTGTGTGTTTACACACATGTGAGTGTAATTGTATCCAGGAAGGATAGAGTGGGTGATGAATGGACCATCTCTCTTTTCATGGTAAGAAAGAAAGCCCCAGGAACCATTCTATACGTAGAATTTATCAGCATTTCTCAAACCCAAGAACCCTGGCTCTCACACATATACCTATCCAGGCTTCTACCACATCAGCCTTCCAGTTAAATTGCTGAAAGGCATAATCATCTTCCAATTGCAACTTCCAAGCAGCTATTGCCTTGGACAGAGAAGGGGTCTTTTGATTCAGAACGTCTATCTTGGCAGAAATCTTCTCCTTCTGCTGACTTTCCTCCTGCAACAACAAGGTTGAGTGGAGAAAGAGAGAAACAGATATATTGATGAGCTTCCAGGGTTAGAAATGTGGATTCTTCAGTGTAATTATTCTATTATTCATCCATGTCCCAGATGCTTATTTCCACTCCAGCATTTGGACAATCTTCTCATGTTTGTCCACAAAAATGTGATCTTTGTAGCTGTAGCTGTCTCTGTTTAGGATTCTTTGTATATCACTTAGATCATTGAGGGTTTGTAAAAACAAACATTTAACTAAAAGAATGATTCTCACATTGCAAAGAGGTTTCTGGTGGTCTTCCTCCCTAGAAGGTAGCAAAGAAATTTCTTCACATTCTTACAATATTCTGTAACCAAAGCAAGTGATAAGATCTTTATAAATGCTTTGTTCTGCATACAATAAGAGTCAGAGTATCAACAAACGATATAGAAAATCTGAGAGGTATACCTATAAGAACTTGAAAAAAAGAATTTCCAGAAAACAGCAATTGAGTAGATAATTATTTGCTGACAACAACAAAAACAAAGGCAGCCAGGAAGAGATTATTAAAGTTCTATGTATGATTTAAGCACTGCTCATGTTTCTATATTTGTCCCAATCCCTTTTTGAAAATGAAAGTTTGACCTAGAATCCCTGGAGTTGCTCACCTTGCTCAGGATGTCTTCTCCTTGAGCACAGACATTTTGCACTCGGGTCTCATGGACAGCAAAGTCATTAGCCAATGTTTCATGCTTCTTTAGCAAGCTCTGCATAAATGAGTCAGTGAAAATCAAAGCATTCAAGGCTGGACAATCCATCCCACCCACATTCTGACTGTCTTTGATGCCACTCAGCTAACTTGGCAGCATCAGTGAGTGTCCACTTCTTCCTGCACAGCTCCACTAAATTCCTCTCCCAGAACTCTTCACTTGCCAAAAAGGGCAATCTTTACAGAAATAAGAGAGTCACAGGAATACAAATGACGCTCCTTCTAACTTACTATGTGAACTTAAGCTTTTTTGGATTTGGGAATGAGAGTGTTGATCAAGGTCATATATAAGGATTTCTCCATATTGAAATTTATATAATTCTGTGAAACATTGTATCTAGCAGAAAAATATTAAGTATCAAGAACATCCTATACTAAGAATGGATCCTAAAGGGAGGTAAAGAGAACACTGAGCTGTCTTTGAATATCATTTTAAATCTTCTCTGTTTCTAACTGCTCTCTGGAACCATGATGTCTGTGTAGCTGGTTTGATGGAGAAAGGAGTGAGGAAGAAGCATGAGTAGCAGTATTTTTCCATATTTCACTGTATTTTCCTAAGTGTCATTTATATCAGCCCTCACCACCATCACCACCACCACTACCATCCACAGCTACCACTGCTGACTTTTTGCCTCTTCTTGTCATAAAGGCACCCCATCCATTTTTTTCTACATCACATACTAATCTAGGCTAAAGGAAGAAACAGATTCTGTATGTTTCTGTTGAACAGAAAAGTATGACAAATGTGCTTTTTAACTATCACATTTTGAAAATAAAAGAATTTCTAACACATGGTGTTCTTAGGAGTTAAAATAAGATGGTTATTCTTTTTAAGACAAGGTGAGCTACAGTATATTTTATGATTGTATTATGTTTCATATTTACGCAGAAATTATAAATGAAGATTGGTCAGAGGATTCACAATATAAGATTGACTATCTGATTTAACCATTTTTTACATATGTGTGTTTTTATACAATTCACGAAATAAAGTCTCTTTATTTAAGGAGAAGATGAAGTAATTGGAAGAAAAGCTAGATTCAACAATAAGTAAACAACTCTCCTTTCTTATGTTAGCCAATCCAGATGGACCCAGGGAACTAAAAATGCAGAATGTCAATTTTTTCTTCATGAAAGATAACATAGAGGGACTAGCTGGATAGATATCTTGGGTAACTAATGAGGATTATCAATAATAAAATCTCATAAAACCTTTTCTTAGAATTTGCATGTTAGTTTTAAAGGTTCTCCTTAAAATGAGCCTTTGAATGTAATGGTCTAAATACACTAATTAAAAATGGAGATTGGCAGAATGGATTTAAAAGTTTGACCCAACTATGTGCTGTCTACAAAATACTCACTTCAAATATAATAATATAAACAAGTGTGAAAGAAATT